CGGAGCACAAAACTAAAAGTTTATTTTGGTCCCACTCGGTAAAAAGACACTGAAGGTACATCACTATTTTGCTAAGGTACAAATGTAAACAAATAGGGCTGCTATGGTAAAATAATTATGCTTAGCCACACTTAAACAACTTCTAAATTATTGATAATTCTACATTGCACGCAGATTAACTAGAGGCACAAAAACCTTAACTGGAAAATAAGAACAACATTATTCAATCATTTTTAAAGGAAAAATGCACAATTTACCAACATCTAAGAATAAAAATAGTAAGTTTACGGAGCAAAGTAACAGAGTGTGTATATATATGTATATATTTATATAGGTTTGGTGCCGCCGATTGCAACCAGAAATGGAGGTGCACAAGTGCATGTTATAGTAGTCCTATATACAAAATTTCAACTTTCTGAGGCTACTCGTTTTTGAGTTATGCGAGATAAATACACACATACGGACGCTACAAAAAAATCTCTTTTGAATCCCTTTTAAGTCAGTTTTATATTTCGTTTGGGGAAAAAGAGATCTTTATTCTGTCCTTACGTACAGATGGCACGCAAAAACATCGTTAAATTGCATTTAATAACCGTCAAAATGGATTTTTTAGTTGAAATATGATTCCCGGAATATTTCGTGATTACAATACTTCCTTTACTTCGTACAAGGAAGTAAAATCAGTCTTCTAATCAATGAAGTAAACAGAAGGTATATATTTTCAATCAGATGTTAAAAACAATCTCTTAATCAGCGAAATGAATAGAAGGTATACACGTTTATTTAATCCTATGAATTATATTTTAGAAGTCCTTCTTCTTAAAGCTATGAATATCTATGAATGTTTGGAAATATTATTACTGTAGCAGTAGAGAAAAGTTACCAAAAATATATTTAAAATTACTTTTATTTTTGTATTTCCGTTAAATGATCTCTTAAGGTGGTTAATTATTTCTAGCTTCTAAGCACTGCCAGATTTTAGTGCAATTATTTAGGTTTAAAACTATTATTTAAATCACATACGTACCAATGGTACGGATTCATAAATCATTCATGTTGCGGGACTGCAACTATGCAGATGGTTTTATACGTAAGGCAACAAGAAGTCATTTCAGAGGCACTCCACAATATTTCCATGCCTGATTATCTTAAACCTGAAATCGTTGACAAGAAGCTTCGTACTGCGCCAGCTGATATGGTGGGACATCGCTTTAGAACTACACAGAAAGCAGATGAATTAGCGGTAAGTCAATGAAATTAGGTAATATAGTTCGAAATAGCTCCAAATAACTTCTTCTGATTAAGATTACATAGCAAAACATACGTTTTACACCTTTCGAGTGCTCCAAATCCCGCATCAATTGTTAAGGCACCACCCAGCTGTTACGATGAAACTTTTGTTGCCATGATCGGTTTGTAAGTGCCCAACAGGGCCAGTTGTATCAGTTTAACAGCACTCCGCGGTCAAGTTTTGCATTGTCCATCTATATAGCGTTTAGACAATAAATCACGCTATATATCCAGTATGTTCAGCATGAAGTTATAGCATAAGTATCATCGTTGATAATCTTTTCACAATATGGGTTGTTTCACAAAATAGATTAGCTTGTTATTCTTGGAAAATTTGCCATATACCACCTATTAAAGCAACTCATCATACTGATGTTTGTCATATTGCAGAGTGGGTGGGCTAAAGTATAGGACAAGACGTCCACTGGTAGCACTAGCATATCTGCAAATATCGACCTACCTGAATGGAGACGCCTTGTAACGCTTGCTGGATTCCTAAGTAAGCGAGCGACATTGATGGTAGCAGCTGTAAGATGAAAGCGACCTAGGAAACACCAGAGCTCTTGCTCGAGAACCGCCTTCCCGATACATCATGCAGTACTGATCTCTGGAATAACTAGCGATCCTTAGACTCGAAGATACAATTCACGCATTCGCATATCTTCCCTAACCGTATTGCAAACTTCTCAATGAGGCAACACATAATAATTCTATCTGCTTTCTAGCATCCAAACAATTACACATTCACCACTGATTTTGAAGAAAATTTCCTTTAAAGATTTTACACTTTGCAAAGACATTTAACGTTATAAGGCCTTTACTCTCTTCTTTCTGCCTGCCTTTGTTGTGAATATACTCCACGCGTATTCGAGAAGTTCAGGGTTTGAAATCCCGGTAAGGGCATTGCACATTTTTCACGTCTCCTGCTTAAAAAAAAAAAAAAAAAAAAAAAAAAAAAAAAAAAAAAAAAAAACCTAATGACTCTACAACTGGTGCCCGAACTAAAACGGGGGCGACGCTAATTCGTCACCATCAATATTTGGCGATTGGCTCGTCTAATCCCCAGTTGTCTTTAAAAGGGGGAATATATAAAGTATTTCCTCCTTCTTTTCTACATGCCTTCGTCACGTTATTGGAAGCATACGCGACGTATTCGAGAGGTCCAGGGTTTGCCGGGGCAAGGGCTTTGCACATTTTTCACATCGCCTGCTTCAGAAAAACCTAATTATTCTACAACGTATATTTATTTCGGTGATCGGACACCACAGAATATGAATTTTAAGACTTATCTTGAAGCTATGGTAATGCATCATTTTACACTAAATTTCACATACATTTTACACTCATATGAAACAAGATTCACATGTAACATTCCACAATTATGCTTACATTCAGTATTTCCGATACAGTCCTGCAGTCGGTCTCGTATGATATAGCATAATAGTTTACAGGCAGGCACACATAATTTTCACAATTACAACTTTCTGCGTTCCAGAATTATTTTGGCGTTTAAGGACTTTAGTATACACCCTATATATAAAACAGAAGTTTTATTCTAACTAGGTATTATTGGGTCATTCAGACATGAAAAATTGTTAAAATTTACTTTATAAGCGATTAAAATCAATTTATAAATATTCAGGCGTTGGTCATTGCTCTTAGAAGTTGTTCTGTTGTGATAATCGAATGTATTAATGATATGAGCACTTATTAATACATTTTGTTGTTGTTACATACAATCACTTGTCTGACGTAGTCAGCCCAAGTCCACGAAATTCTCATGGCAAGCAGCGCAAGAATACACCTATCGTTGGCAACAGCCTTGAGCACCTTACAAGTGAGAGTGCGATTTAGCTCAGTTCCGCCCCCAATTTTTGATGGAGAGCATCCTGGGTGGACGGGTTCGAGGGTCTCCCACCCCACTCCCCTTCCACCAAACCACACGAGAGGACTTTAGAGTGCCGCCATGCCGCACCGACACCATACATTTACTAACATTAATGCCTCCTCCGGGCCCTTCGGCATGGCAGTCAGAGACGTTAACCACTATACCGGTTGGGCGGCAATACACTTTATAATTTTTCAATAATATCTCATCATGAAAGTACTTTGCAACGTTTTAACAGTATCCCATTATAAGGTGCACAGTAGAAATGCGCTTGTAGCTCACATTCTGAGTTTCATATTCTAATCTATTTATTCATTTCGCATTTTTTTATCCTAATTTAAAAATATTACAAATACGTTTGTGACAAAAGACTAAGCATTGATTAGGACTAATCATCACAAGTATGCTTAATAATTAACATAAACTAAAATAGTAAGTAAGAGTTTAATAATTAACATAAACTCATATACTAAACTGAACTAAAACAGGGCAAAGCTGATTAGTCACCATCATCACATTTTTATATACTGTAACATGTTTTATAATGTATGCGATTTCATATTTTTTTACACGTTATGCTTCCAAAATTGTGTAACATTTAGACTTTCGTTGCATGAATAAAAAACGAAACAACAATGTTAATTTTTAATGGCAATACATAAATGAACGAGTATGAGAATCGGAATCTGAGAACACGAAGGCTTCAAACTATTTCCTCTAAAATTTCCAGATAGACAAACCGAGTGAGGTGATAATATGGAAAACTTTTAGATTTACAGTTAACGGTGTGGTGTGTAGTGGCGTATTTAATTATGGCAAAGCACACTAGGGCTATCTGCCTAAGGGAGCGATGCCTTCGTGGAAGACTTTCTAAGGGAAACTGGCTCGTATACACGTTACACATGGGGAAAACCACGAAAACACCCATGCAGCCAGCCCGTTCGCGGGATTCGAACCTCGGACCGAACTACCAGTGTTACAGTTAACGAATCATAAAATTAATAGTTATGTAACGATGCTGATTACATAACTGCACACATACATTTCACATTGGAGTCTTAATCATATTTATTCTAGATAAGGGCACGTGAATTACAATAATACTAATCCTGTGAGTTTTATAACTAGTGCCTGAAATACTTTTAGTTATAATGTTTTTTAAAATTTGTACTACACTTTTAGCTTAAAAATATTAGAAAATTCTTTTTTGATATTTTTAAATTATTATATGTATTACTAACATTTAATTCATAGCTAATGTTCTAAGAGATATTTCTGACAGTAGAATTATAAATGAATGATTTGGGGAAAGATTATTTTGATTAATATTAAGGATAGATACTAAAATTACAGGAAGAAGCAGTTAAACTTCCCTTTTCTGCTGTGGTGAAATCTTTGTGTTTTGATGCATATATTATTATGTTGTTTCTTTTAATAGAAAATTGTTACGCTTACGCGAATCATAAAATTAATTTATGTAACGATGCTATTTACATGAACTGCAAGCATACATTTCACATAAACTTCAAAATGCTTCAGAATATGCTATTCAGAATGCTAAAATGCATTGAATTGAAATGAAATAACATAAGTCATAAATTATGTCCTTTTAATTTTCAAATTTGTACTATTTTAATTATCATTTACTACATGTTTTTTCATTGACGCTTAGAAAAGCTTTAGAATTTTTTTTTTTTTTTGTATTTTTGCTATTGTAAAGTAGAAATTATTGACATTATATCAGGTTTTTCAAATATAGTATAAGCTGTTTGTTTATTCTTTTTAACCAAGATTACTGAATCAGTTTTTAATGTATACTTACTAAAAATATGGCCACCCAAGCCAATCCGATGTTATCGAACGAGATGGCCCCTTTGAATGGATTTCTGTTCCCTGCGCGGCAGA